GCCGAGCAGAGGTGACCGGGTCCCAATTCCCTGGAGCGGCGCGCTCCGAGCCGCCCCGGAACCGGGGGTGCGCAGTGGTGTTTCCGCGGGGCGGCAGTTGGGGCGGACGGGGGGCGGGGCAGGGCCCATGATGGCGCTGCGCTGTGTGGCTCCGGGCCGTGTCCGCTGGCTGGCCCGGGCTCTGGCGGGCCCTGCCCGGCTCCTGCCGCCGAACGCAGCCGCACCGGGCCCCGCCCGCGCCCGCCCGCCCCAGCCCAGCGCTCGGCTCGCCAGCACCGCCGGGCCTGGCACCGAGGGCCCTCAGCGACGCGTGGTGGTRGTGAAGATCACCAGCCCCATCGCCTGGCTCCGCAGCCGCTTCTACTACCTGCTCATCCGCCTCTACTTCGACCAGGAATTCAGCATCGAGGAGTTCACGCGGGGGGCCAAGCAGGTGAGGGGGCCTGGGGCGAGGAGAGCGGCCGAACTGAGGGGAAAGATCCKGCTGAACCTCCTCAGGGGCTGCCGATGGCCGCGGTTATTTTCATGGAATTATAGAAACAGTTAGGCTGGAAAAGACCTCGGAGTTAATCACAGATTCACAGAATAAGTGAGGTGGGAAGAGACCACAGTGTCATCTGTTGCAACCTCCCTGCTCAAGCAGGGCTATCCTAGAGCACAGTAAAGACTTTCTTCTTTATGTTCAGGTGGAACTTCTGTGCATCAGTTTCTGCCCGTTGCCTTTTATTCTATTACTTGGCACCACCAAGCAGAACCTGGTCCATCCTCTTGGCACTCCTCCACTTTAGGTATCTGTACACATTGATGAGATCTCTCTCAGTCATCTCTTCTCAAGAATGAACAAGTTCAGTGCCATAAGCTTTTCCTGTAAGAGAGATGCTCCAGTTCTCCAGTCCTTGCTGCTGGACCTGCTCCAGGAGCTCCATGTGTGTGYTGTACATTGAATCCAACCTGTGACCAACCGGTTTCTGGCATCCATGTCACATCCAGTCTTTCTTTAAACACCTCCAGGGATGATAGCTCCACCACTTCCCTGGCCAGMTCATTCCAATGTTTAACAGCCCTTTCTATAAAGAAATTCCTCCTGATGTACAGCCTGGTGTTACTATGTGTGGATGTTGCCGTGCTCCCGTGTATAAAACACACTGAGTTCCCCACTGCTGGCTCCAAGGATCACACTTTTGGGAGAATGATATAAGCAGATATGTGCTTTTCTTCAGGAACTTCTTGTTTTCTTTCCCTGGATTCTACAATTAAAATGAAYTGGTCAAGCCATCCCCCAAAACAGTGTGAAATAGTGTGAAGTTATAGAGACCTTAAGGAGAATTGTATCTCCTCCTAGCAGGTTTTCCTGAAATGATAAAGCTCAGGCAGGCATAGAGCTGGTGTATATATTTGTAGAGCTGGTCTATATATTTGTAGAGCTGGTGTATATATTTGTTTCTCCAAATTTATGAGCCCAGTAAGTTTTGTCAACAAAGTGTGTCAAAGAGGTAATTATCTCAAAGCTACTCATGTAAAAATTACAGTTATCTGTTGGGAAACTTTTTATAATTATATATAGTTTTAACGAAACAAACAGCTCAGAACAACAAATCGGGACAGAATAAGATAAATTCAAGAGAGGAAAAACCCCACAACCTACAACAAATAATTTCCCACATATGCAGAACCAGCTGTTGTACCTTGGCCTGTTTTTTGGGGGGTTTTGTTTATTTGTTTTTGCTTGCTGTAGAGTCCTAAATACACTGTCCTTCACAAGTGCAATGCTTGAATATATAGAGGCATAATTATTTGTAAATATACTGGTAAAACTGAGGGGGGAAAGTGGAGTTGAGGTTCCTGAAGTTTAGAGATTTCTAAAGAAAATGTCGAAATTGCAGCATCAGTTTTGACTGAAACCAAAAGATGAGTTGGAAATGARGGCAGGGGAACAAAATATTTATAAGGAAGGACAGAATATTGGAATTATCAAAAGAGTAAAAACAACATGCAAAGTACTGCAGAGTTTGTGGTTTTTAAAATTTTTATTTATCTAGTCAACTATGAATTCAGCATTGATATTTTAAATGAGAGATTGAAAAGAAATTGTATGTTTTTATCAGTTCATGAAATCACTATTTTGATTCTGGAGGGCTTACATTTCAATGGTGAAACCCTCTGCAAATAGTGAAATCTTAAATCATGGAATATTTGGGTAGCTTGTCAAATAATGATGGATTTGTGTGAAAAATAAGCCTGCTTAGAGTTACTTGTTCACGTATTTCTTTTTTTGTAGGCCTTTTCTGTTGTTTCAAAGCTGCTGTCTCAGCGTAAACTTGACATGTTGGAAGGACTTGTATCAGCAGAGGTAAATGCTTTCCATCTCCTATTCTTGCAATTGATTGTCTGTTTTAAAGGAATTTGGATTCATTCAGCCTGTCATTATCTACAGGTTGCCACTTTGGCTTAATTTGAGAAAAACAGTGTAATGCAAAACAGGGCATTTGTTCATCCTGCAGCTTTTTTATGTTTAATTTCAAGGCATGAAACTTAMTTCAAAGTTACTGTATTTGAAACAAAATAACATATTTTAGCTGTTGATCATAAGGATCAAATGCCAGAAAGATTGCTGGTGTASCAGGAAGGATAGAAATGCAGCAGGCTTTGGATTGCAGGTGGAATTGTGTCTCCAGGTGTAGGCAGGTGGCTGAAGCTGACTCAGTCTGTGCACTGGAATTCAGGTGAAGAAAGAAACTGGTTTGTGCTTCTCCCTGCTGCACTGATGCAGTATCACCCCCATCAGATCTTATATCTGATTACCAGTTTTGGCTGGACAGCCTCAGTCTTGTGTCACGGTCTCAGGGATATGAGTGACCTGGTTAAACATCAGTGCTGTATTTTCTGTGTTTATGAATTTTTAATTGCTGAAGTTGTCTTGGCCTTCCCAGGGCATGGAGGTAGCAGATGCTTCAGAGTCAAGTGGAGGAGACTCTCAGGTCTATGTCTGCCTTGTTACAGGATGTCAGCGTGGCCTGWCCTATTGCCACCCATGCCTTTGCAGCAAAAACTCTGATGCTGTTCTAGTGCATCCCCTCTGAACAATCTTGCCTCCTCTCTCTGAACAGAGATAGCAATAAAACGTGAGTTTGTTTCTTGCAGTTGTTTCGAAAGGGCTTCTGCTCTGCTTCCTCTTGAAAGAACTTCTGGTCGTTGTAAATTTTTCAGGTTTACATTGATGCAGAGACTCCATGTAAGCCAAGGATAYAGTAGATGAGGCTGTGCTCCAACACTACTTTGTCAATTTTTTGACCTGTGAATTTTGTACTTGCAAAATGTACTAGAAACCAATGTCTCCTTGTGAAGATTGCCTCTTGCTTCCATGTAACCTCTGAATTTGTTTGTTATTCAAAAACGATAAGTCGGGTTAGGGTAAAAAATGATCCTTCCTTGACTTTTTCCTGTGGTGTTTGAGGTGCTACCTCTGTGCAGTTTGTGCACCCCACCATCTTCTACTTAACACAGCTGTGTCGATCATAGGGCATTCAGATCATGTGGGTGTGAGTCTCATATGGAAATTAATTTACCAAGGGAACGATTTTTCAGTCTGTTGTGGTTTGCAAGTGTTTACATTTTTTTCTAAATGGAGTGTGGATCACAAAATGGCAAAGATAAACTTAGTAGTAATGAAACTGTTTTTCAAAGAAATTTATGAWAGATAACTGAGAAATAATTGAATCAAAAGCTCAGGAACCTCCACGTTTCAGTAAGAAATCAGTGGTGAGAAGGCAGTGTGTTTTTGTGGGAGTTTCTCTGAGGTGTTCTGGGCTAACATGGCTTGTATTGCAGCTGCTGTTTTCTAAACATTTTTTTTTAAGATACTCGGTTTTCATTTGTTTTGAGCAGTAAATGGACCTTCTTCAGTGCTGCTGAATTAGGGTTTAGGAATGCCCAAACTTGCCAGTGCTTTTTCACTTTAGCTGTTATATATGTTAGACAAGTGTTTTAGCAATACAGCTCATTGTATTAACTATGGTAGAAATAGATTGTTACTTAATTTCCTATTGAAAAACTAAGTGACAGTTTTTCTGAATTTAGGTGCTTCAGGTGCTGAAGGAAAAGATTTCTTTGCTCCCTGACAGCCACAGGGATGCTTTAGCAGCTGACATTGATTCAATCATGTACACAACAGAAGGAGATGTTCGCATTTACTATGATGATGATGGTATGTGTAGAATCCTAAAACATTTCAGCAATGAGTAGTCTTACTTCCTGGGTTTGCTACTYAAAAGGCATTTTCCTTACAGATGTGGTTTTGTGTACTGTTTCTCATTCCTTTTTTCTCTGTAATTCATCTATATGAAATGTCTTGATTTTCTTGTAAACTAGAATCAGAAATTATTGTTAATRCATCAGGGTATTGTTTTGACTTCTGTTTGGGTTTTGCTTATTCTTTTGTACAGAATTTTGTGTTATTAGTCCTCAGCAATCTGACACTGCTCAAAAACAATTATTCTAATATATGCTGAAAGCTGTTTGCTCTAACAGTGAAAATACATCCTGCAAGAAGAATAGTGAAGCCTKGATAATGAACTAAATTTTGCTGGTTTACTCTTTCTATCATAAAATATACCTTGTTGTAGGACTCCCTGATTGTTTTGGGTTTTTTTAAGTGATGAGCTCAGGGAAGTTTTTCTTTTGGTTGCATACCAGCATTGTGTGCTCAGTTTACCATCAGACATGGTGCAGGATGATGTGTAGTTTAACCCTGGRTCCTCAGWTRAGCATTTCAAATTGTCAGACCCAGKGAGCTTTTTTTCCTGGTTTGGGAAGTAGAAATCTTTTTCTTTCRCTCTTAGATTGCTCCCATGTTTGAACTACTCTGCATACTTTTGTCATATCAGTAGTTAGCTTTGGACTTTGTGGGAACCAACTTTTTTTTCATACGGTTTCATTATGTACAATGTCATGCCTCACTCATGATAAAATACATATTTTTAATGTAATAATCAGATTTTATTTTATCGGTGTTAAACCTCATGAGTATGGCTTTAACTAGTTTTATCACTCATTATTCTATCCTGTATTCTTTATGGCTGAAGTCAGCTGTCCTTCCAGGATCTCAGTGGATCTAGGTAGCAAATAGGAGTATTTAACCAATGAGARACATGAAATCTAGCATATGCTTTGATTTATTCCCAACAGGAAGAAAGTTTGTTAGCATCCTGATGTGCTTCTGGTATCTGAATGGTGCTAATCTACCTGATGAYGTACCAGGTGAAGCCAAAGTCTTCCAGATTGTGTTTGGAGATGAAAACACAAAAGAAAAGAAACATCTTTTAACAGCCAACTATGAGTAAGTTTACTTGTCCCTTTCTTTTCCCATGTCCATGGGGTACCTGTGTGGTAAGGAGTTCTGCAAGCAGCCCCACTGTGCCAGTGCTGAACCCAGTGGATCTTCATTTACCTTGATTCTTTCTAATCTAAATTAAGTTTTGTCCAACTTTCCAGTTTTGATTTTAGGCYAAATTTTTTAAATACCCTTAAGTCATGTTATTTTYTTGCTTCTGAGTTGACAGTAATGGRAGCTCTTTTTCTGTCAGGAAGAACAGTATTTGGAGTACTCAGTGAGGTTTTTGATCCTCAAGGTGCACATTAGGAAGATGGGTTTTCATAGGAATGCTTATAAATAATGGCTGTGTGATGTACTGATGTCAGAGCAATGCAGAAAATATCTACACAGTTGGCAAAATATATTGAAAATAAAATTCTCAGAAGCTGGGAGAAGTRAGGATTTTTGTGTGATAAATGCAGTATGATTGGATTTCCCACATTTGAAGCTGGAAATATGGGGTCTAGGTGATGAGAAGCTCTGAAACAAAGGTAACACTCATGAGGACACCCCACTTTGCCTGGATGGATTTTTGTGGATCCATTCCTTAGCTGAATTCAGCATCTTCCTTTGAGTTGGAGGCTTCTGAGGTTCCATTAACCTTGAGAGCCTTCCATTAAAGTCTAGATATCTTCCCAATTCCCAGCAGAGACATCTTTGCMAGTGTGCATTTCTTACTCTAAACACAAATGGGCAAAGACACTACAGGCCTTGGAAGGCCAGTGTTAAGTGTTTGGGTGTCTGAAGAAGACACTTCACAGGAATGTATTTGCACATGATTGCAAAGCAGTGATATTCTATTGCCTTCATCCAGGACAAGTAGGTTATTTGAGAATGTGAGTATTCATCTTGAAGCTCAGACTTACCTTTATTTAAGGGAGACTCAGTACTGCTGTTAACTTGATCTCTGATGTAGTTCTAAAACTATATTACCTTTTAAACTAGAGTTCAGTAAAAATGAAAATTTTCAAGTAAAATGTGGAGCACATGATTTCCCTCCGCATACCGCCCCATTAAACGAAACTCTTTATTTACAGATCAAGATCTTCCATAAAGCTTTATTCATATTCCTGCTGTGAAAACTTGAATGCTTTCTTGTATCAGGGTCTTTACTGYTGCTGCTTGATCCCATCTGTGGGATCTGAACCAAAATACTCTGAAGTCAGTGCATTTTGTTTCTTATTATAGAAATAATTTTTATCTTCTATTTTGGGGCATAGGCTTTAAAGTTTAAGTAGTTTGTACAGGAATAAGTTTGAAGTTAAGTTATTTCTTGCATTAGTAACTCCTTAAGATCAAATAAATTTTTACAACTCTTCACTTACTGTCTTTCTTTTTTCAGGTTCCAAAGGGAGTTTACAGAAGGAGCAAAACCAGACTGGACTATTACACGGCTTGAACATCCAAGGATATTAGAATAAATGCCTTCTTCAGCCTTTTTACGTACCATTGTAATTGTTCTGATCTMAAAAATATCAGGCTTTTTTGAGTCTTTCTTTTTTTCCCTTCCTGCCCTTTCCTCCAAAAGAGGAYGAATTTTCTAAGTATGATTTCCAGAAATTCTTAGGCTTGCACTGTGCTGCAGCATTACAACAAAGCCTTTTCCCTGGAGCAGGCTGGTAGAAATTTAATTGGTTCTGATGCTCATCCAAGGCATTTACACAGCACAGTTTCATTCAGGCAGGTGTTACAGATATATAAGTTTCTTACATTCTGAGAAGAAATGGTATTATTTGAAAATAAACAACAATTAAATTATTGATGGCCCTTCTGAGTTACTTTCCTTTGTTTCTTTTTTTTCCCTAGGGACTGTACAATATATARCTGAATAATATGCAAGATGAAATAGAGGTAGATGGACTTCTTAGCTTTTCTAGCCTCAGGAGTTCATTTTGAGGTAATCTGGCTTTTGAATATATTTGAGATTAGGAAAGTTAGAGCTGCTATTAGTATTTGCTACAGGATTGGAGTAAGAAAAAGCTTTTGGCACTGCACTGGGAATATGAATCAAAGAGATACATATGGTTTGGAAAATTTAAAAAAAACATTTATTTCAATAACATATAGGCAATTCCAACTTTAGAGAATTATGGAAGAAAAATCAGTTGAAAACGTGAATTTAAAAGAGGACTTGACAGTGAAGTTAAATAAAGTCCTCTGTTTGAAATGTGTGTTAAAGAAATTATCAAATCCTTAAAATTAGATGAGGCAATGGAACAATTTCCTAGTTCTCACTGTATCTCTGGTTTCTAGAACATGAGAATCCTGTTCTAAGTAGTTGTTTTTATATGCAAATCAACAGGAGATCATAATCAGTTTCTTCATCCGATATATCAACTTCAAATATAAAGCTCACTTCCTACCACCTTCTCCTTCCTTGTAGACATTAGTGCAGTGTTTTGAAAGTGTAAAGTGTRATTACTGTGATTCACAGTAGTTGTAGTTGAAGGTATAAATTAAATTTTCCATAGTTCAGCTCTTTTGATCCAATGACTTAATGAGAGGAACATCTAAAGCTTATCAAGTAGTTGATAACACACTTTTGCTGCAAAATAWGTGATTGGAAATTTACATGCACTGTTCTTTTGAAGTTGTTTATCTCCTGTGGGTTGGAGCCAAAGCAGGCAGCAGTTCAATGTTTGGGGTTTTTTGCCTGCCTCTAATCTTCAATTAAAAAATTATCCTGGAGACTGCAGATCTCCAASAGACACAAAACTACCCATGGACTTACTGCACCATAAATAAATCAGAAAGGCATATAAACTACTAAGCTTGCTGTATTGGAAAATGGCATTCTCCCACACTGAATAAAACTGRTGTAATTAAACTGGATTTATAGTCTAATACTGCTTCAGAAGAAAAAACACCACCACCACCCCACTCCAGAAGAACCTTCACAAACCAGCCCCAAACCCAACTTTTGTRAGTAATGGACAAATATGGAATGTTTGACTCCTTTTTATCTGCCATCCATAAATTCTTTGTCATAAGTCTGACCATCATAGCAATTAATCAGACTGAAGTGATGGTCACTGAAGGTCATTTGTCATTTTATGGCTTCCACATTTTCTCTTGTGRAAATACTGTTCTTCTAAGTTGTTTGTTCAGGCAAAGCAAGAACTTCAGTTTTCTACACTGCTGTGCAAAAGTAGCAATATATATTTAGTTTCTTCAAGCTAGTTCCTAGTGAATATATTTCTCTATGCTAAAAAGGTTGTCCCAAATTCTTGTGGCAAAAAGAATGAGTGTTTACTTTGTCTCAAGGATGGAGAGAATATTGTCTTGTAATTTGGGAATTTCCAGTGCTGCCATTCAAATACCTTACTCTAAAAACCAYATTGCTAACTTAAATGTTACAGAATTTGAAAGAAGAGCTAAAGGAAGTGTTTTATTTAAAACATCTTGATGATTTGGGAGTAATGATGCTCAGCAGGTAACAGTAGAAGAGTGAGGGGATCTCTGTATCATAGCATGCTATTGCTCCCAGTTTTCCTTACTGATTAGTCTCAGACATTGCYTTGGCAATGACAGTGAGTAAGGATGTGGTTGTGCTTAATTACCCTTCCATTTCCTTGCCTAGTATCCATTTCTGTTGCTTAATGTCTGGGGACAAGTACAATTGTAGCTATGGTGTGCAGCCAATAAATCCCCATCTAAAATCCATCCACATTAAAAATATTTGCAGTTTTAGCCTGCTAATGTCTTCATTCAGAACCCATTAATTCTTAAAAACAATGTTACCAGGTCTGGTAGGGATTTGGGGGGTAAAATYTGTATCTCTGTTAGCAACACTGACACATTCTGATTAATTTTACACAGAGCAGTGAGGTGACATGGTGTCTGGACTACAACAGGATACAGATTCAGAATATCACACTCTTCTCCCCTGGGCAATGTCATGGTTCTTCAGCTTCATGTAGAGTTTGGGAAGCCTTAATTTTTTAWATGTTCATCCAAAACTGTGATCATTTTAATAATTCCTGACAGCTGCCTGGCACGATTTCAATACATGTGCCTAAATCTTGGCAAGCACTAATTAAATCTRGCCAACAAACCTCTCATTAATTTGCACACCCACTCACCAGTAGATGGCCTTGGTCACAAAGCTATTGTGGCTGGGAAGTGACTGGCATTAGTGAGAGTTTAAGCAGGGTAGAGGATAAAATGGTAGAAATACCAAGTGCTATTTAAATAATTTAGATTTGTCTTACTAAAAAGTATTGATATTTTTACTGGCTTTCATCCCAAGTCCACAATAGTGTCTTATGTTCTCTGCAAGTGCCTGCCCCTTTTAAAGTGGCAATTTATCTGTATTCTTAATGTGGGAAAAATGAGATGTACRTGTGAATTCACACAGGTACCTCTGTGTCTGACAGTAGCAAARCTAATTTTTATRTTCACATTTTAAARTACATTTATTATGTTGACTGTGATTCCTTTCCCTCCTGCCCTAGCAGTGTCTGATTACTTCAAGGGACACATTCAACTTTCTCAGTTTTAAGGCATGTTCAAGCTTGACCTTACCATCATTTCAGGTTATATCTAGTTAACTGTTTTGAGGTCTTATGACTAGAAATTAGTTTAGTATGAAAAGTTGCTGTTTATCACATTAGTGATCATACTCCTTTGAAACTTCTCAGCTCCTGTGCTTCTCCTTTTATTTGTCATGTGGTTAAATTTGAATTCTGCCCTATGTGCAGGTAGGGGCTTTGAGATTCCTTACAGGCTGGGATCCAAGAGTGTGTAGTGGAGAGTGCTTTCTGTTTCATTTCTGTCTCACACATGGGTGTGATATCTGGGCACTGGACCACATGTAGACACAGGAAGAGGTATTTAGCTATTAAAAGAGCAASCATTGCCTACACAGCTGTGCTTTTGTTCTTCTAAGGGAAAAGCAGTTGGGGCAAATACAGTTGCACAGTGAGTACTGATCACCCTATGTCATAGGAGTTCCCCTCCTTGTCTTTTACCTTCATTTTCCATTGCTGGTGTATCAGCCTTTTGGATTTTCACAGTGTTGCCATGGGATAGAGGTTGAGTAAGTCACTGTGAACTTGTGCAGCACTSTTGGAAACACTGCCTTAGTCACAATGCTGTCTCTTCTTACATGTATTTTGTCTAATTTCAGTTGTGTGTGCTTTTCCTAATGTGAGGTTCTCCTATTGAAGTTACTATGGGGAAACAGTTATGCATTTTAATGGGAGCAGACTGCAGCTTCTTTGCTACCTTTGAAGTTATTCTGTCAGAAGTAGAGGAAAGCTAAAATTAGACACACTGTATTTTCTTGTGTGCCATTTCATCCCTCCTCTACTGTCACAGAACAAGGCTTTTCATAGCGAGTTTGGTACTGTAGTGCCAGTGGGGGCACTTTGAGGGAAAGGAGCAGGACAGCAAAGTGAAAWGCAGAGGAGGTGGCATTTCACCAAGGATGCAGCCTTAAGGACACGGGGTATTTTGAAACAGATGGTGACTTGAATATTCCTCTGAATTATCCTTTGCAGTTGACAGTAACTTTTTACATGGAAAACTCTACTTGTGTATGGGGAAGAAGTCTGACTTTTCAAGATTAGAGCTGATGTTCCACATTAAATTTTCAGAGACTTCCTAGTCTGACTGGGGAGGTGTGGGAGAGGTACCCAGGTAAAGATGGGGTAAATCAGAGCAACTAAAGGCTGTTCCTGCCTTACACTGAGTAGCAGCTGGTACATCCCTTGAAACTGGGWTGAAAAAGGAGAGGGGCAGTGAAAATGCCTTGGTAATTCTTCTGAAYTTTCTGGAACCTATTGGCAGGTGCAGCAGCCATAACATCAGTGCCATCTGCCARGTCTGGAAGTGGAAGTTACTGTGGTGCAATTGGATTAAGTGTTCCAGCCTGTGGGGCTGGTGYAGTGTTSAGTTCTGTGCTTACTYRKGGTGTTAATGCTGTTTGAAGACCTKCACATTGCTCATCTGCACTACAGKCAAACAWGGTCATTACTTGTAATGTTATTTTTTTGTAATGTGTGTTTTGTCTCATAAACTGAGAATGGTTGAATATAAATAATGCTTTGGCAGATTTTTTAAATACTTCCAAAGGGAACAGGATCAAGGGACTGCAATGTAAAGATAGTGAAAGTGAATTTTTGTAATCCAGAACTCATGTCATGCAAGGCATTGACCATTACTGGTGTGATTGKGATGAAGAGGTCATTGGAAGCTGCCTGAAATCTCTTATTTGGTATGTTCAAAGTACATCTATTATTAAAATCTGTAAAGAACTTAGTCCAGTATTTTGTCCTTTTTAATTATCAGTGGGGTCACTGTCCCTTTTAATTATCAGTGGGGGTCACTACCTCAGGCTCAGCTCCCTGTAACAGAACCTTCTGAGCTGTTTGCCTGTTTCCTCCATTTTTGTCAGTAATGTCATTAAGACACTTTTTTTCCAATTTAAGACATAGTATAATAGATATAAAATATATATAAGATAATTTGAGCAATGCAGAGATTGCTGATTCTCTGGGTGCAGTGTGCCTTGCTTGTTGKTACTGGAATTCTGTCTGGACTTCTGCTGAGATGTGCTCTTGGAAGGCATCATTCCTGCTGTTGTAATGCAGTCTCTGCCTGTGAAAGCATGGTGTAAACCCTGTGGTGTGAGAATTAAACTGTGTGATTTCCATCTTGCCATAAGTTTCCACCCCTCCATCTGAGAATGTAGTAAAGCATTTGGACAAGTACTTGGAAAGCTGGTAGAATCRTTGTGGCTTGAATTACAAACTTACTGTGTATCTATTTAAAGGTTTCAGAAGCAAATATGCAGATCATAGGTTAAGTCTGAGTTTGTATCAACTGCATTAAGGACAGTAATTATTATAAAATCTTAGCATAATATGTGCTGTGAGTAAGAGAGGGCTTTTTTCTTGTTCTCATTGTTTGTTTTGTATGTTATTAACACCAGCAATTAGTCAAGGCTAGAGAAAGTGTTCCATTGCCTAAGGCAGTGGGACAGGAAAAGTGGTTTCTTTATCAGTCATTTTTACATATTTTATGTTCTACTTTCAGGTTCTGTGTTGGAAGGAAGTGGGTTTTTTTAATGCCAAATTGGTAACATTCATTGACGTTCTCTGCAGTGGAGGCTGTTGCTTCCCAATGGAATAATTTCCATGTGTTTTTGCCCAGTTTTCTGCCAGTGCAGCTCATGCTGCAGGGTCTCTCCTGCAGTGTATAATTTAATCTCTTGTTTTCATTTCACTGAAGTATATGGGTTTCAGCAGGGGTAACTGGGTGAAAGTTAGTGCCTGYATTATATTGGAGATCTGCTTAAGTGATCTAATGGTTCCTCCTGGCAAAATCAGTGAACTTATAATAGCAGAGGTAGAGAGAGGAAGGAGATCAAAGGTGGGTGGTAGTGCAGGATTCATATAAAGGGGAAGCTCTATGTATTGTACTTCTAGAGCAGGAGTTGAAGCAGCCCTGAAATGAAGGTGAGTTTAGAAAGCCTGAGAAAAAGAAATTGTGTTTGATGTTCTTGCTGGAAGTTGTTTGCTCAGATAAAAGGCTGGAGAACCTCCTTCACAGATGAGGCAAGGAAAATTTCGTGTAGGATTCTGAGGGGGTGTCCTGGGTATCAGGAAGAAGCAGATTCCAGAGGATTTATGGTGACTTGCCTCAGTTGTGAGGAAGCTCTTCAGAACACTTTGTAAAGTGAAGACACATGTGCTGAAACCTTCCCTTGCAAGAACCAGGGATTATTTTTCTTTAGCAGAAGAAAGTGCCTTCTCATGAGACTGATACATTTAGTCTGCAGTCAAATGGCCTTTGTGATTTTTTTATTTATTTACTGTCACTCATCCCTCTTTCCTAACCTTCTTGCAGACCTAGCAGTGGGTATTTGACATGAGGAGCTGGTGATTCACAAATGCATTAATCCTACTGCAGTTTCAGAGTCATTTATTATCTTTTCTCAAAAATCTGTGTCTCTAACAGCCTAACCAGAGCTGAGCATGCTGCTGCAGATGAGCCTGCTGTATTTATCTGGTGTGTTGGAACAATTTCCTCTAATTTCATATTTAAGAATTCCTAAGCTTAGTTTGCAGGATCTCATTTCTTCTGTTAAGCTGAGTAGCAAAGAGTCCTTGAGATTTCTCCCCARCATTWTTTCTGACCATGTGTGTGACCAGTWGGAGTTTATTTCCTTGTTTAAMT